TGAACCCTTTCGAATAGCGCTTCTGAAACTCTGGGTCGGATTGTGAAAACCTTCGTGCTGCATGCATTGCTTCTGAAGTACCGTGTCAAAGCTACAACCATTATTTTGAGAATTGTTTATATGTTTTGGGTTGTCGTCTTTTCTACAAATAGCTTTTGTGATTAAAATCAATTTCTGGTAGCATAGCGGTCCTTGATCAGTCACAGCAGTAGAGATGCCATCGCTCCTGCACTCATATTCATACTCTTATTCTCATACTTATCCATCACCTCAATCCCTTTCCCTTTAACATTACCTTTTTATCTTCTCTTTCCCTTTATTTCAGTATTCTTGCTATTGTTAGGATTTTCCTTAGTTGATGCAAAAAGGATTTAGTGAAGACGCTAGAAACAACACTAAGGGTGTAGTTTTGGAGTCCCTTTCAGGAAGGTCATAAATTCAGGAAGAGCCAGGGAGATTGAAGAGCAAAGTCTCAAAAATAATAAGGTGTTGCCATGCAACTGAAGCGCGTTTAGCGTCATGGCGCGAAATTGCAGTGTGGGCGATAAGTACGCTATTTTCACTATGGTTTACTTTCATTTTATCCATTCGCTGGCCGCAGGATGGGCAGTGAAGCTGCAACTACATGTCGCAACTGACAGGGAATCAAATTCACATTCTAGAACTCACTCCTGTCAACCGTACACTGCTACTGCCTCATCGGCTTAGAATGACATAAGCAGCGTTTGGAGTGAAAAAAACCTGATCTGTTGCGGTCCTCACTTGATAGCATTAACGCACGCAATAAGCCCAAAATGCGACGCGAAAGGTTTATATCAAAATATTATTGTCTCATAAATAGTGTCGCTTTTTTTCAACCAAAAAATTTTCGTCTAAATCCCCATGCTTTTACATCGAGTCATATACCATTCGAAAGAGAATTGTCTGCTCTAAATGCTATGTTCCTCTTCCATCTGTTCCAGGGTTTTCAAATTTTAGGCCTGCGAAATGGGAGGTCCAGCCGACAAAAATTGACCAAACCGACAACTATCTCTAACTTTATCTTCCCTTGGGAGAAATCAATCAATGATGTACCCTCTACTTATACATGACCTCTTCTGAACATTACACTATTAGGTTTCCCAACAAGTCGCGTCGTTCCATTTCCAGACCTGGTTTTTCAACCAGAACTCGACGGTCGAGCACCATTACCTGAGATCTAGGTCGAAAATTTTTTATAGCCGGGACATTGAAAAACTAGCAGGATTAAAAGAGCAAGTCATGACTAAGTTAGGAATGTACGCCTGGTTGATTTTCTCATCTTCTCAGGGATAATTTTTTTTTCAAAAGAAACGCGGTCACTTTCGTGGAAAACACCTTATTCCTAAACACCTAAAATTCGAACTAATTCCCAACAAACATAAAAACAAAACAAATGAGCGAATAGAGCAGAAGAAGTGCTCAAAAGGAACACCACTCGATATGAAACAATGACGTTTACGAGGAACAATTTTAATTTGAAAATTGCTATGGCTTATCCGTCAGCCAATTCGAAAAAAAAACGGCAAAGCTTTTTCGGCAACCTAAAGTGGAATGTTTAGAAGAGGTCATGAGTAAGTAGAGGGTACATCATTGATTGATTTCTCCCCAGGGAAAATAAAGTTAGAGCTAGTTGTCGGTTTGGTCAATTTTTGTCGGCTGGACCTCCCATTTCGCAGACCTAAAATTTGAAAACCTGGAACAGAGGTGGAAGAAGAACATAACATCTTGTAGAGCAGACAATTCTCTTTCGAATGGTATATGAACATGGTGTAAAAGCTGAGGATTTAAGAAAACTTATTGTTTGAAAAAAGCGACACTACTTATGAGACAACCTAATAGTTAGCGGAGCGAGGTGCGCTATTTCAGCGAAGGGAACGATCTTGATGCTGAGCATTCTTCACGATCGCCCATTTACTTAAGCCTTCGCCATTAGTTTGGTTGTGATTGACGAGTTTGTGACTGCAACAATCACAACTGGAGCACTCGACTGGATGGTTTGGCTGTGCCACAAAAATCGACAACCACTTCGTCCATATGTCCGCCTTACTTAGCCGCTGCCCATTCATGAGTGAAAATCAACGGCCAAAGGAGGGGATCCCATTTTGCGTTCCGTACACGGGTTTCTCTGCGTTCTTAGCCAATGATGTACCAATGACCATACCCATATCTCCTCTAAACCTTTCTAGAACCTATCCGATCGCTGCCTTTGAAGTCAGTCTTATTTTCTGCCTTCAAATTCTCATCAATCTCGTCCATTTCAGCCGAAATCCAAACGGAAATCGAGCGTATCTTCGAATTGGCTCGTTCAATGCAGCTCGTCATTCTCGACTGTGACACCATCAATCATCCGAGCCAACTGGCCAAAACTAGTCTCGCACCGATTCATGTGTATATAAAAATCAGTTCACCCAAGGTAAGATGGACTGATGAGGAATTTTCGCTTCGATTCAAACATGCGCCTGATTAGGCGTTAAGAATTTGGCGGAACTCATTGAATTAGATTCTCCTTTAGTACGGATACCTCCCCCCCTTCCTCACACGTACTTGAACCTTTTATCCATCCCACTGATTTCTGGAACATGTCCATCAACTATCTCAAGGCGAAAGAATAGGAACCAGTCCGTCGCCCGTACTCACGGAAGAAGGCGTAAGGCTAAAAATAATTTCTGGCTTCGAGGAATTTTTAAAACTCCACTAGAGAATCCCTTTTCCCCCTTCGATCTTGAAATGCCCTTCTCCACCTTAAGCATACCTACCTGAGACCTTTTTTTACGAAAATTTGTAAATCAAGCGGATTGAGAGATAGGGATGCGTTAGAAATAATTTTTATGGGTTTTTCAAAACCAGGAAGAAGGCCTCATAATATATCCCCGTGCGAAAAATCGTCTCCCAAAAAAAACCTTGGGTGAAGGAGAAAACTGCTCTCAAAAATGGGGGGGGGGGGCACTGGAATGGAAACAACAAATCGAAGACTCGCTAAATAACCAGTTCTAAACGAACTATTTTTTTTTCTTTTTATTTATTTTCCAGGTGTTGCAACGTCTCATAAAATCACGGAACAAATCACAGTCGCGAAATATGAATGTCCAAATGGTAGCAGCCGAGAAACTAGCTCAATGTCCACCGGTTCGTTTTTTTTCACCGAAGCTTCTTTCTAAAGAAAATCGACCGTCACTTCGGTGCTTCAAAACTTTCGATGGTGATCAATTCATTTTCAATGCCCAGAATGCGCCATGCACTCGATTTTTACTTCGAATGTAGTGGCACTTGAATGCGTACTTGGCCTAAGGCCGCCTAACAGCTCAGCGCTTTCGGACCCCAAAGGAGGTCCTGGTTGGTTTGGGTGCGATTTGATTGCAAATTTGATTTTGAGGCACATTATGTGATTAGATCACTGGACTAATCCCTTACGCGAACAAAGTTCTTGGGTCCGCAACCTTAGAAATAAGGCCAATTTTGCTGTTTAAATGTTTCGAAACGAATTCAGGGGTTGGGACTTGAGTCATTGGTCCACTGTATCTTAGCCTTCCTACTGCCTTGTTACTGCGCATACATCGCTCTGTTGCCTCGACACCAATGTATGTCTGACAATGAGTGCTAGCCTCTTCGCCTCTCTTACCACTCAAAGAAAAAAGTAAAAGAAGGACCTAGCTCAGCGCTTCTCCTCTGGTTGTTTTTTCTTTTCTCTTCACTTGACAGTTGGCATCGACTGTTTCATACTCGTACTTCACCACAATTTGTTGCCCAATTATGTGCAATTAAGCCTTGCAAATGTTGCAGGTACCAATGCCATACCTCTGCCCGTCAACTCCCATTATGATAATTTGCTAGGTGTCCCACAAGACACTTTCAATAAAGCACAAGCCTATCTTCTTATTTTTGTGAACGACTCTCGTCCCTAGCAGAGCCTGTTTCAAACGGCGAAGGATGCATTTGGGGTTGGCGTCAGAAAAGGGGGTTGTAATCGTCCGAGTTAAAGAGGTCGTGCTTGCGGAAAGGGGCTCTTATGAGAGAACTTATGAGAGGGCTGAGGTTGAGGGGCATCGTCAAATTATGAAAATTGGATCACCCGACGGTTGATCCAGTTCCGGAGCGATCTGTGCTTGAGAATCCCCAAAGGAAAAAATAGGAAATTGTTTCGTTCCCATTTAATTACT